GTGTCTCATTTTCCTTTCTGTCCTCCAAGCCCCACAGAGGATCTGCTGCCACAGAGCAGGTCAGGTGATGTTGACTAAAATAATAGATCCGTGGAGAAGGATGAATAAATACCCTGGCTTAGCCACACAGTGCCCTGCTTGTAGTTGGGTTTCGGAGACAATTCCTAAAGAGCTAGATTACAGTTTCCCTTGAAAACCAACAAGATTTTTAAAAAGCTTATTAAATGGTGATTCCCAAATTCAGCTTGTGGTACAGTCATCCTCAAAGTTTGCAGCTGGTCAACAGCTTAAGAGTTGAAACCCTTTTCCAAATCAAAGAGCTAGCTAGCATCTACTAATTTCATTGGAGGGTCTATGCCCCCCTACAATGGGAAACGTAAATTCTAAAATATTCATTGGCTTAATTGTTTGTATGGTTGATTTGTTAAACACAAGTTAAAGGAACTTCCAAAAGGGAAGCTCTTCCTCTTCCTCATATTTTTTTTTCTAAACCAACCCTACACAGCACCACAGCCTCAGGGCTTGGACCACGAAGGCAGAGGAGGGGGCAGAAGCAACTCTACCAGTAGCAGCTGGTTGGCAAGAGCTGTTGCATAGAAATCTTGGTTTCCACTTACTATCCTTGATGTTTTCGTCCAAGGTTGGAAGTGGATAAACAAGGACAAGAGTGTCAAGTGCAAAGAATATGAGTTTCAGCAAGTTCTTAGATGTCCAAGATCAAGTTGACGACCTGCCACAAACTTGCAGGGGGGCAAAAGAAATCATGTCACTTCTCTAGGCCTCCACCCAGCATCTGTACAGTAAGGGGCTTCAGCTAGATGATGGCTAAGATGTCTTTCTCAAATTCAATGGACTAATTATAGACAGTCATCTTCCTTCCAGCTCAGGTTATCATACTCCACTAATCAGTATCCACTAGTCAGAAATGGAGTCCCTTTTCCCGAAACACCCTACCATATGCCATGTTTCTAAAGGTTGACAGCATCTGACCTGTACACACACACAAATGCAGATCTCAGTACTGATGGAATTGTTATCTGATACTCAAACCTGAAGCAGCTGGATCATGTGTAAAGGCTAGCAGAGCTGGATGGGTACAAAAGTTCTTGCTGCAAATCTACAGCTACCCCCAATTCTTACAGTAACTACTGCAGGTGATCCTCCTATCCTGAAGCTTCACAAGACCACATGGAAGAAGCCCCACTGGAGGTGTAACGGTCCTGACCTGTCTCTTTCCTCTCACTCACCCCTTGAGGGAGGAAGAATCACCTGTTGTCTTGGTGGATTTGGGAGAAGAAACAGCATGCTCACTCACCCCCACCACTCTGTTTCCCTCTTAGGATCTGCTTGGCTGCAGAGCATCTGTGCTCCGCTCCCTCCTGCTCCAAGAGGTGGGCCCCCATCTGACAGGATGTCCAGTCATGTCTTTCTCTGGGTAGGTAAGCCTATCAAATTCAGGGGTGAAATTCAACAAGCCCACTGGCTCGCAGACGCAGCCCAGCACTTGTCAGTATAAAGCTGACAGTGTGATCACCCCCAGGAAGGCCCCCACATCTCCCTGGTTCTGGGAAGACCAAAAAAAACCATTGCCATCAAGTCAATTACGACTCACAGCGACTGGACAGGGCAGAGGGAAACTGTCTCATAGGGTTTCCAAGGCTGTAAATCTTTATAGAAACAGATTGCCACATCATTTTCCTGCAAAGCAGCTGGCAGATTCAAATCGCCAATCTTTTCGCCAGCAGCTGAGCACTTAACCACTATGCCACCACGGCTCCCTATGCAGGGAAGAGGTTCAACTAATCTAGAGAGCTCAAATGACCTATCTCCTCTGCAATACAGGCTCCATTCACAGACAGAGTCTCCCTCCTGTCAAAATGGCTGCCAGCAGCTCTAAGCCAATATCCTAGACTCTCCGCTAATTCAGCAGAGAAAAGAGAGCTACTATTCCCCCAAAAAGTCCTAGACCTGATGCTTACTGGCCAGAATTGGCTCAGGTACCCATCCTTGAATCAATCTCTCAGGCCAGAGGAATGGACTCAGCTAAGGTCACATGCCCACCCTTGGCAATGAGGGTGGTGTGAGCTCCAAACAAACCTCACGGGGTTTGCATGAGATAGGGATCATTCCCCAAAGGAAAGCTTGGATGTTGTTCCCCCAAATAGAAGAACGGCTCCTGAGCTGCAAGTTAACAAATACCCACTACACCCTGAACCCTCCATCAGAACGAGCTCAGCCCTGCCTCCTCCACGGCTGGACCTGCAGCAGCAGTGGCCTCTGCTCTACAGACAGGCCAGTTCAAACACACGACTTCTCTGCTTTACCAGGAGCCTGGTTCTCCAAAGTCTCTGTGCCCCACTGCATGCCCTCACTGCCTAGCAAATTGCCACTACGGCCCCAGAAAACATTTCTTCATATTGACTCCAAAGCCCCCAGGATACGGAGCTGAGTCAGTAGGATCCAGGCCTGCCAGCGCCAACCTTGGAAGAGCTTCTCTAAGTCACTGCCTGCAGAGCTAGTCTCCTGGCTCTGCATACTCCAGGACCTGGAGCTGCTGGCTTGACAGGTGAGATAATGATGATGCTCATTCCTTTATCAGCTACACTGACAAGCACGGATAAGCCCTCAGACAGAAGAAAACACTCCTGCAATATCCGCTCGTGTCCTTTAGTGCCAGCCTGCTCCCCCTTCACCAGGCACAACTCCCACCAGTCTACACCCTGATTTTGAAATCACCTTGTTATAGGCTGTCAAAACCACCACGTGCTACCTTCTTGGCAAAGAGCAGGCTGCACTTTCCTTATTGTGTTCCTCAAAGCTGCCAACTTTTCCAGCAATGGCAGTGACACTGCCTTTCAGATGACTTAGGTGTGAAGGGCAGCTGTCTCCACAACACCCACCTCCCACCTGCCAGCCTCCTTCGCCCTACCTGCTCTCCACAGTCCCAAGGAGAGAGGTGCCCTGTGCCCTGGCCTCGACATCTCCGTAGAATATCACTCTGGTGGGTTCTAAGGCCTACAGGACTGGCTATGGAGTACAGTGGAGAAAAGGAGTGGGGAAAAGCAGGGGGACCCAGGTTCCAAAGGCAGGTGCCATCCTTCAATAAAAACTACCATATCATTCATTCATTCAGTCATGAATAAAACTTTATTCAGCATCTACTGTGTACAAGACACAAAAAGAAGACCCAGTCCCTGATCTAAAGGAACCTATAGTTTGTTGTTTGGTGCTGTTGAGTGCCTCCGAGCTGATTTTGACTCATGGTGACCCCATGCAACAGAACAGAACTGCCCCATAGGGTTTTCTTTGCTGTACTCTTTAGGGTAGCAGATCACCAGGTCTTTCTCCCATGGGTGGGTTCAAACTGCCAACCTTTCCATTAACAGGCAAGTGCTTAAACCATTGCACTAGCAGGGCTCCTAAAATCTAAAGAAAAATATATGGAAGCAACTATCCTCTGTGGCGGGAACAAAGAGAACAGAGCAATTAAATTCAGATAGGAAGACAGCTCTAGAAAAAGACACAAGAAATAATGATTGCCTCCAGGCAGGAAAATTGGATACCTGAGGAACAAAGAAAGGACATGTGATTTTATATGTTTCGAATATAATATATTTTTGAATTACAAACCATGTAAATGTATGTCTCATTAAAAGACACTTCTAGGATGCAATCAGCCAAATCCTGAATGTGGGAAATTCTACAGAGTAAATTATCTAGTTTCTTCAACAAACAAATGACTCAAAAAAAGGAAGGAAGGGAATCATTAGTTTTTTAAAAAATTTAGGAAACCTCAAGCTATGTAATCTCTTTACCTTACATGGAGCCATATTTAAATAAATTATTTTAAAAAAAGACATTTTTTGGACAAAAAAAATAAATCTGAACATGGATTAGCTATCAGAGGATACTAAAAAATTATTGGTTTTTTTAGGTATGATCATGGTATTGTGGTTATGTTATGTTAAAAGTCCTTATCTATTAAAGCCACATACTGAAGTATTTACAGGTGAAATGATAGGATGGCTAAGTTTACTTTTAAATATTTCAACAAAAAATAACAAACGAATGAATGAGAAAGTGATGAAACAAGAATGGCAAGTTTTTTATAGTTTCTGAAACTGGATGACAGTTCCATAGGGGATCATTATATTATTAGTCTCTCTACTCTCAAGGACAGTTGAAAAATTCCATAATGAAAAGCTTAAATAAAAATGTAAAAAGTAATTATCCCATGCACATAGGATAACTGAGACAGAAACTTTACTGAAGGGGAGGTGTTTGACCTCAGTCTGCAAGGATGACTAGGGAGACTGCCCAAGGGACAAAGGGTATTCCAAGCTAAGGGGACTGACTGTGCAAACACACAGGTCTACGTATCACAAGCTTCTCACTGGAGTAATCAAAGGTATCTACACTTGACCTCAAACCCAACCTACATCCCACAAAAGTACCTGCGCTCTTGCTTGATGCCCCCAACTCCCTGGAACACCCAGATGCTACATCAAAATCAAGTACCTGACTCCAGATGAGGAATGCAAGTGTGTGGTCAACAATTCCACTGAGAGATCTATGTGGCCTTCAGAGGATAGGAATGTAATTAACCTCTTTCAACTGGGTTTTGCCTGACACAGCAGTTTGGAAGCCAGATCAGTTATCTCATGGACAGAACCTCCATCCCTCCTGAGTCATCCCAGAGACTCACTGTCCCCAGGAACAGACACCAGCCTCCCCAACAGCCACTTCTAGATTAATAACCTCAGCACCATGGGGTCAGCTTGATGTCGGCCTGGGAGCTCAGCCCATCAGCACTAAAACACCTCTAAGAGAGGGAAGAGACACCCTCCCCTCCTTCCTCCCAAACCAAATCACCAGAGGCCCCAGCCCCAGTCCCCATGCTGCCTCCTGCCCACCTCCAGCTGCACACAGGAAGCTTACTGGTTTTGCAGTTACTTCAGAATTTACCCAGTCAGGTCCTGGCTGTCCCACCAGCCCCTTACCTTGGATCGAAGCTGCAGGTACTCCTCTGAGCCATAGGGGACACTCCTCAGGGAGGTGAGGTAGTCATAACTGATGACGGCTGTCTGTGAACCAAGGAAAGGGAAGGCTTACTGCCTGGACATCAGATACCATACTACTCCTCCTGACACTGGCTGGGATGTCTGGATGCTGTGCCCCTTGACTTAACCCTGGCTGGCTTCCTCCTCTGCAGAGAAGCCCAATCTCAACATGCTCCCACCCACCAGGAACTCTCACTTATTTATTA